GATGCGTTTGAAGCAAGTTTTTGAAGATATAAATTTGTAGTTATTGGTGTTTCTTCAAGGTTTTACACTTGGTTAACTAAGGTAATCATCTCGAGACTCTTTTATGATTGTTTTTATGAAGTTCTACGGACATTTCGTCAAGTTGAGGCCATTTGGCAAATCTGCCGATTTAAGAACAATTATGAATTGTTTATAGGTGCGTACCAGCTGTGTATATATAGTGTTTGCGAAGCTTAGGACGTAAGGAACAACTTTCGTGAAGAAGCTACGGCCATTCGAGCGTTCATTGAAAAGGTATGTTAAGGCGAAGCTACGTCCCTCATTTTAGCACCACTCCTGGGAAATTCCTAAAACGCCGAATGCGATATTTTGCTATTCTCTTGCTAGAAAGACCTTCAGTGAAAGGCATTGGGATCTCAGCTGAATTTTTTTCATGATTCTGTTATTTTGATAGTTCACTCGTTCGGATAAATAGAGTGTTCGACATCTACATGTCTATTTTATCGGTTTCCTTGATTTATATGTCCGCACGTATGAATTCGTATTCTTCCTTGGGTGATGTGAATTAAAATGTCACGCGAGACACTTACTTCTTGTGACCAGCCCTCTTTCTCCACTAAGGTTATTATTAAAAAAATCTTTAAAGTAACTCACGATCTTCAAAACTCTCGAATATAATTTAAATGTAAACTATTAGAACAGTTGGTTTTTGAAATATTTTTTTTATAAATTATCTAGGAACCAAGTTAGGAACTAAGTAAGTCACCTTAAACTTGTTATGAATATCAACATGGTTAGGTTATCCTTCTAAAATTCTAGTTAACTTTTCAAGCTTATTTGGAATAACATATCAGGTTCCATGAAATTGTTATATGTTATACGAAAGTTATTATGGGGTTATGAGAACAAGACTACAAACGGGACAAGATTGGAAACATGACAACAGTAACTCATAGGTGTTATAAATCCATGACATGACATGCTATGCATTCTACTCCTGAGCTATAATCGGGAGGTATGGGGCCTATTGCCTATATTTATACGTATGAGACACAGATAGCCACAAGTTGGCGAATATGATGCCGGTTCGCTACCGGAAAGCACCACTATTGCTAGCATATGGTTGGGTATGTCATGCATTTGCATCTATATATATATATATATGTATTCACGACATATGATTATACGAGCACACCATGCATATTTAAGTAGTTGGGGGCTAAAGGTCAGCCATGGAGATTATTTGGGTTTCAGTTTTAGGTGGTATCTCTATTACCCTTTTACAGTAAATGTTTATGATTTTACTTTCTGCTTTACATACCAGTACATTTTTATTTGTATTGACGTCCCTTTGCCTGGGGACGCTGCTTTTTGTTTCGTGTGCGAGCAGGTATATGCAAGGACTCTAATCGACCCACCCGCTAGGATTCAGGTTCAGCTGTGAGTTGGTAAGCTCCATCTTATCCTGGGGCCATCAGAGGATGTTTACTTTTGTTGTACAGTTTGGGTATAGTCGGGGCCTTGTCCCGACAGTGCTTATGTCACTCATAGAGGCTATTGTGGACACAATATTCTGGGCTTTCTTTTTGTATGTTTCAACCTCTAGCCAATAGGCTTGGCATGTATATATATGTGTGTGTGTAAGTAGGTATGTTTTCGGTTGTGGCCTCGTTGGATAGATAGTACATATTTTATTTTTTTTGGTTTGTCTACCATTATTTGTATGGTTTATTCTCATTCAGGTCATGATCTCTGGGTCCAGGCTTCACTTTTTAGAGGTTGTGCAGCCCAATCTTTTTGTTTCACAGTTTGGTTTAGCTAGTATGTTTCAGTGGGTAACTCGATGTATTAGGGTATCGAGTGCCAGATACGCCCCCTATTTTGAGGTGTGACAAAAATAAAATGTAAAAGCAACTAAGTCAACACCTATTTTTTTAATCTTTTCAAATCCTGCCCTAATGTAGTCAATAAACCAAATTATCTTTCCATTACATCACAATTTATCAATGCCAATTCTTCAAGCCGAGCCATAATTATAAGATATAAATAATCTATAACCTGTTACAATCCCTTACATCAATAACATGTTAACAGTTGCAAAACCAACTAAGCAACTCAAGAGAACTAAATTATGATACTTAAGGTTGCAGCACCTGAATATTTTAGCATATTGGTTACTCAAAAAAAAGGAAAAACAAACTTTGGCATTAGTTTGGGTGTGTGGTGTTTGAAGTGAGACACTAAAACAAAATGAGACACTCATGAAAAGTATATATTAGATTGTGATAATATTATCGTTACTTCTAGTATGAACAATACACTAATGATTTGCAGAATTTCAGCCCATCCAAAAATCAAGAAATGCCTAATCCACATTGCAAAAGTAAGCAATTTGATTGGAAAAATTATATTGAACTTCCAAGTTCAGATATAACTATGAGGGGTATATCCAACTACTAAAGAGTTGCTTGTCAAGAACCTTAACCCTTTTGGTATTTGTATTATATTCAACTAAATTTAAGTTTGCATCAAAAAATTTCACATGAACGTAAAACACTTTCTAACAAAGACAATTATATATCTAAGGAAACTCGAACTTGAATCTCTTTTGAAGAGATACTCATCAATCCACTAGTGCACTTGTTAATGGGACCATTATTAAATATATAATTGTATTTAGAAACTTGGCTTGTTTACCTAGTCAAATATCTTCTTTAAAACCATTTCCAAAGATTATATAATACGTAGTATCATGTAGATATTTTCTCGTCGATAACGTTTTTGATGGACTTTTCGTCAAAAATCTTCTTACCAACCTATCAAATTCAGATGAAACGTCCATCGAAAATTAGCAATTATGTAACAATAAATATCATGCCTAGTATGAATCCATGATCTAGTTATCTTTCTCTTCACCAGTAACAAGACAACAACTTTGTACCCTTAAACTCCTCAAACAGCCCCAAATTTCCTATCAATCAAAATGGAGCATAACAGAGTGACTGGACCGCTACTAATCAAGGAGATAAAAGGAGGAAGGAGGGAAAAAGAAATCACAATAATGGGTGGGAAAGAACATACATGTAGCTGAAAACATACCTGTAGCTGAAACTTCAATAGTAATAACTGCAAATCCTTAACTTCACACTGCACGCAAAAATAATTGTAAAATGAATTTAGTATTTTTTATAATTTGTATCTATCAAATAGAATATGTTATAGCTCACCTTCAACATATGATATCATTGTGTAGCCATGTGAATTTATGAAAGCTTAGACAAACAAAACACTAGAGCTATTTGGTTTCAATACTGAAATGGAAATATGAGTGCAAGTAAAACGTAGATTTAGAAGGATAACAAGTGCTACACATCAAAACTCACAAGTAACAATACTCCAAGTAACACTACCAACTATAGCAAGAGGAAAGGTTTAACTGAAAAGATTTACATGAAATTTCACAAGCTTTGGAGGTCCTAAATTAGGTTTTTTAAGTTTAGCGGGCCCCAAAAAGTTGCTACAACACAAAAGTAAATCAGGAAATGAAACAATGATTTAAAAAAAAAAGAAAACTATAATCACCCCTCTGCCCAAATCACACAGAAACAGAGAGAACAAAACTCCAGCGTGGAATCAAATCAATCAATAGCCAAATTTAACTAAAAAGAAACCTGATAATTCCAATTTCCCTAAATTCCACAAAGAAAATCAACAACATTCAACCCAAACAGTAACTTCCCTATAACACAAATTCTGCCTATAAAATAAAGAAGAGTAAAACATAGATTTAGAGTGACAACAAGTGCTCCACATCAAAACTCACAAGCAACAATATTCCAACTAACACTACCAAATATAGCAAGAGAAAAGATGAAAAGAACAAAACTCTAGTGCTTTACCTATCAGTTCCTTCCTCTAGAACCTTAAATTAAGCATAAGGAAATTATATAATAATAAATTTAAAAACTTGACTTTTCAAGGGAGGTTCTAACTACTTCTCAAATCGCTTTACTACGGATGTGAGAGAGCACAATGTGTTCAATTGCATCCTAGAAATCAACTATGAAAATGTAATGACTTGTTTTCGTCGTTATAGAAATGCCAACGGGGGAAAATTTGGGACCTGAAAACTTTTTCGTAGTATTTGAATTTTTCTAACCTTGTCCAGATTTGGACGAAATCAGAGTTTTTAAGGTGTAGGGAAATCTGGTAATAATCGGGTGATTTATTTATAATTCTGGGTACATGAGTGGTTAGATAACTCGTTAAGGAATCCGTACGACTTTACGAAATTGAATTCGGGAGAGTAGAACTCCCGTAATCGACCTTAGCGTAAAGGGTATTTTCTAAGCATTGTTGGTTAGAGGTGTGTTGTGAAATGGGGATTTTGGAATTCTTTAAATAGCTCACTGGTTTGTGCAAGCCGCTCTGGCGGGGCCGCTACAGTAGGGTGAGGGCCGCTGTGGCGGGTTCGACGCGACTTAAGTTCATAAATAAACCCCTAAACGATCTCATTCTGCATTTTTCAATTTTTATAGCTAAAGAACGAACCCCAGGTGACTCCTAACAGTTTTCCACCATTCTTGAGGCTAAAGGTAAAATTTTCACTCCTCGAATCCAGTTTTTGATCTGTAGAACGTAATAGAATGGACAATTAATGATGGGGGAGGGTTTTGATCTAGATTCTATGGTGGAAACAACCCTATTTTGGATACTTGGGATCATGGGTACGATCCAGGGTTGTTAGAATTGTTAGTAATTCACGTAATTAGTGATTGTTTATTGATTCCCGTGTTATTGTGATTGTTTGTAGACCAAGAACAAGCGGAATGAATCCGTAAAGGGAAGGATCAAGTTTCTTAGGGTTTCAAGCTTGTTTCGAGGTAGGTGATGGTTGTGATTCTATGATTGTGTGATGTATGTTTGTTCTTGCTTCATTATGATACATGTATGTATATGAATGTTGCATTATTGATCACACTTGTTGTAATGAGGTAGATGAATAATGGTTACCATGAAATCATGACTTAAATGTATCATCTTGATGATATAATGGTGATTGTGGTGTGTGAATGGGATCGGATTGCCACGTTC